GCAGTTCATAGCAGAAAGACCTGATCAACACTTTCTTCAAATAACACTAGCTTCTGATGGCACTGAACTGTAAGAGGCAATAGCAAATCTAAAGGAAAACACGGTGTTTGCCTATAGGCAAGACTTTGTAAGATGTATGTGTAACACAAAGCCATTGCTACTTAAAGTAAAGCTGGACAGAAGATGTTTTTTCAATTTGAAGCTTCTTTTTTTTTGCAAATTCAAAACTATTCTTGACCCTCACTGGGACCAACTAAGACTGCCAAAATCTTGTGCAGAGAAACTCCATGCACTTACTAGAGGAGCCAAAAACGTGCAGGGTGAGCATGCACATGGATTCTAACAATGTACATGATCCCATCTGGGGCACCAAACTGCAGCTTTTTGTATCCAAGATGACTTTCCTGAGCACCAACTTATTTTACCGTGTTTTTGCAAATGCCTTCATGTCACATCTGGCTGACTCTGTATCAATAATTAAATATACATTGCTAGGATCACTGATGTATGGTTCCAACTACATAGCTATAAAATCGGTCTTCCTTGCTTTATTTGACTTGGCGACTATTTATTTATACAAAACAAAATGTCTTTAGAAACCTGTGAGTATTTAGTATCTTTAGAAGACTTAAAAAGTCTTTAAAGCTGCTGGTCAGCACCTTCCTTTGCACTGGGCACAGTTCAAAGCTCTCTTCCCAGTAATATTTAACTTCTTACAAAAGGTGGAGGATCTACAAAAAGTGACTGTGTGATCTCTGTAGGAATCATAGAATACCAGGTTAGAAGTGACCTCAAGGACCATCACAATCCTTTCTTATAAAAGCGCAATCTAGAAAACATGGCCTAGCACCCTATCCAGTTGAATCTTAGAAGTGTCCAATGTTGGAGAATCCATCTCTTACCTTGGGAGATTATTCCACTAGCTGATTTTTATCACTGGAAAAAAATCATACCTAAATCCAAGAAACTTAATTGCTCTGTGCAATGCTGTCCTAATTTTACTCCAGTTCAGGGTGATATTTAAATTCTAGGAAAAGTTTGCAAGCTCTGAATGTCATCTTCTCTCTGTTTTAGGTACCAAACAGTTGTTTTTTCTGCACCCTGTCAGCTCTGACCTTAGCCTTAGTACAGAAAAAAGTTTCAAGTTCCTGCTCTGAATGAAGTAAACATTAGCAAGGGCTCAAAACTGGATGTCTCACCACCTAGCTACTAAACTCCACGAGGATGAGGATTTCTCTTTGGAATTTTGATCAGAACTGCTGTTCTTATTCAGATTTCAGTATGTCCATTAGAGGAGTGTTTCTTAACCTGAGGCTAAGCACACTGTAGAAAGCAAAGCCACCACTACAAAGCAATCCACGTCTTTACTAAAAATGTCTAAAACTCTGCAACCTTAAAGTTCAATTGTAGTTTATACAGATCTTTAAGAAAGTAGAGTACACCTCATCCTTCAATAAGAGCTTGTTTAATTAAAAGTATACTTTAAATACATGCAAACACAAAGCTTCTTTTGTAATTATATTTAAAAGAGACAAATGACAAAAGAAAAAAATAAGTAATAAAAGGACTGGCATGCCTGCAGAGTTTCAAATCCAAGCAATCATAATTTTTTTATTTCCCTGTTAGAAGCTGAAATTAGGCATACTGTGTGGAAAGGCTGCCAGGACCTTATCACTGGGAAATTAATAGTAAAGTCTCAGAGCCTCTAATAGGAATGTTGTAGTGCAGATTTTAAGCCAACTTTTCCATACTGGGAATGTAGAGTTATTAAGTTGTAATGGAGATACAGAGTTAAAAAATGTACTTATGGATCATTCTCTGTTAAATCATAGACAGTTTTGAGAATAATTTCTAAAATCCTCAGCTTGATTCTTACTGTTTTTTAAAATTAGCTCAAAACCTTCCATACAGGAATACAGTGTAAGAAGGACACTTAAGAGTTGAAAATAATCTTCACCATGTGCTATGATAAATGCTGCTTTCCTACTTTTATGCTTGTTTTGGATGATACTTAATTCTAGAGAGCCTGAGGTTCGTCAGCTCTTTATGTCCTCTTGTCTTCTCCTCCCCATCCTGAGCACAAAGCAGTTGTGGTTTCTGCACCCTGTCAGATGTAACCTTGGTGCTAATTTGGGAAAAGCAGTTCTCACATTTAGTGCTGAAAGACTGATAACCAAATCCACAAAAGAATGACACATTTTCAGCGATGAAGCACAGGGGCTGCGGACAATGGCTGTGCTTTCCCACTGCATAAATCCTCCTGACTCAGCTGTCATTGTGCAAATCTACTGCACAAAAGCAGATTTTGCTTGCATGATTGGACTTTATATCATCATAACTATCATAACAAAAGTGGGTGTTGTGTTATCTTTAACATATTATCACTCTATGAGGTATCAAGGCAGATGGATATGTATGTAACCCTTGTACTTTACTGTCTCTTGGAGTCCAGAAATCTTGTCAGTTTCTTTAATGAAATAAATGGAAGAACAGTATTTCTGGGTTACTGGGCAAGTGCAGACTGCAGAATTGAAATGTGATAGACCTGAACATGTCCTCACAGTGGTCCACATGAATTATGACAAAGCTAAATTCAACAGGACAAAAATCAGATTCATACAACTTGCCATACACAGATTATCCAGTAAATGTAGCATATATGCATATAGCATATCTATCTATCTATCTATCTATCTATCTATCTATCTATATCAAGAGAGAGAGAGGGGGAAGAGAAAGAGAAAGAGAAAGAGAAAGAGAGAGAGAAAGTTGTTTATCCAACCTGCAGTAGCACTTTGTGGTTTTAATTAGGAGTCAGGGATTGGATTGGCTATGGATTCTATGTACAGCTAATACGATAACCAGTATGATACTAGAAGATTCTGACTGTAGCTAATAAGAAACTCTGATGTTAAAATGTATTCTGCTCTTAACACATTAAAAATTCGAGTGAACAGTTTGTCCTAAATTACAAAACCACATAGAAAACCTGGACCTCAGAACAGACATAAATAATGTGGCTAGGAGTGAAAAATATATAAGAACAAAATACTTTGTGAATTTAGAAACAGAAGTGCAGATGCAGCAGTGTGTACAGCAAAAGTGGTTAGTCTACTCTTCAACAATTAAAATATAAATTAACTCAGAGTAACTAAAGTTAGTATTACTGGCTTATTTAAATCAAATGTCAGCTTTCTCAAAGGATGAATTTTCATTTTCAAAATGCTCGTATCCTTGTATAGTTAAAACTAAGTGTAATTTCATTTCAGTTATTGGAATTTTGACTTCAGTAGGACTTGGATGGAGTACTTAGATGCATCTTAGAAGTATTTTGGTACACGAAGCCAAAACCAGAGTTTCTCTGAAGCTCACTCTCTCTCCCCATACATGCAAACAACCAGCTACAGGCTTGATTAGTAATAACCATGTAATAATGTAAGTTACTGTGCCTTGTTAAAGTATTGAATATTTTGAAACCAAATCGTTTGGAATATCCAGGACTGTTTTCACTTTTTCCAAACTACTACTACTACTACAACTACTACTACTACTACTACTGATAACTGTCCAGCTCAGGAAGCTCTGCTGCTGATTCACTTGCTGCTTGACTTTGGTGACTAATGTCAGTTTCCCTTCAATTCAGCCAAAAATTAAAGCCTGTACAAGACACGGTCCTGCCCAAGGCTCAGCAGCTATTTTGTGTTCATGTGTGGCTGATGCTTTCACAAGCCTTAAGCTTCTGTACAGCTTGCACCCTACAGCAATCTGCTCCTGTGGCATGTCTGCGTTAACCATGGTATCTGTATATGTTTTAAATTTAATCACACTCCACAAATCTCAATGTAATTAAACCAAAAGTGCTTCTTTATAAATCACTTCTGATTAGTTTAACTGGTTTAAGACAAAATTCTGCTCCAAATGAAAGAGGGGTGTGTATTTCACAGATGTTGCTGGAATGAAGCTGTGTGCTAATCTTTAATGGCTAGATTAAAGTAACTGGATAAATGCACATTTTACATACCATTTAGCCACCGGGAGTCATGCTGCTCTGTCCTGATTGGATGATGATGCCCCAGAGTTCGGAAAATGGCAAAGTCTCTGCCCATGAAGTCTGCTGCTGTGCCAGAGTACAGCTCTCCATCTGTGGGAGGACATAATCATAAGCAACATTTCTCAATTTTCCAGTCATGGTAAGTCAGAGAAAGCTGTCAGTCCTATGTTTATATTACACTAATAGGGATAATGAGAAAATTACAAAGCAATAAGCCGCATGCAATGTATTGTCATTGAAAATGCATAATTAGACCCGCTTTTTTCACTGCAGAGCTTAGCTGTAACCTCTCTAAAATGAGCTGTATGTCCCAACTACTAGTAAAGCCACTTTTCAAAAATGAGTTTTGATCCTTAGGCTGGAACAGTGGCAGCTTGCACAGCTATTCCTGGCAGGCATAGGTATGTAGCCCCCAAAATCCTACCTATCTGTGAAGCTACTCTGTTTTGAATATGAGTTTGGAATGGAATCCTCCAGAGGTTCCTCCCATCCTACCAGGTTTTTTGTGACTCTGTGTTGGTAATTGAAGAGTCCAGCTCATTCACTCTTGGTTCAGAAAGTCATAAAGCCCCTTCAGTTTTTCATCTAGAAACTGTCTTCTGGTTGATTTTTGTTTGGTTGGTTGGTTTGGTTTGTGTTTTGTTTTTGTTTTCTGAGAAAGAAAATCCTTTGCAAACAGTATCTTCTACAGGAAAAACAGAACATGCCTTTCAGCTCCTGCCACCCTTATAACTGTGATACTAGTAAAAAGCAATAGCTAAGGGAGAGAATAAATGAGATCATTCCTTGCTACCTTGACCTCTTGCATATCACAGTGAACAAGTGAATTAAAAATTGACCTTCAGCCCATGAATGATACTTCAGCCTGAAAGTGCCACACAGATAGCCTAGCTGGAGAAAAAACTCACATTATTTGAGTCCCAGTGTGCCTTTACTCAGCCAGCTGGAAGTATCATGGAGGAGACAGAGAGACAGAGTTTAAAGTCAAAGGACCAGGTCAATTTAAATACTGGGTAAAGAGAATAATAATACTAAATACATAGTAATCAGACCCATGGAAAGCAACCAGGGATGAAAGAACAACACATATCTTTCTGACATTAATGTGGAGCTTGTCTATGAAATTATTCTGAATTAAAATTGCTAAAAACACATATTTTTAGGACTGTACCCTTTTACACCTGTATGGGAGATGGGATACCCCACCCTACACTTTTAATACAGAATTTAATAATATTATTCCTTCCAATTGCTATTTTCAAGCTATACACTGTAAATGGGTCTTCTGTGAAAAAGACAAGTTTGAGGGTAAAATAAGTCTCTAAGCTAAACTAATAAATTTTCCATGGTCATGATGAACTCTACTATATCCTCATTTTAAAACACCCTTTAGGAACAAGTTCATAATTTTCATGGCAATTTCAGATATTTCCATGGTGGGACAACCATGTCCAAGCATGCCTACTGGGTATCACTGGTATCTTTTCCCCAGAACACTGACACCATGAAATTATCAATTGAACCTACGGTGCCTCTGTACCATGTGGTAGTCAGGAAAGTCAGGAAGGGTGAAAACATGATAGTGGAAAGGCGTGGAATTGCATGAATTTACAGCAGAGATTAGAAGCAAATAGGCCAGTCATGCCCAGCAGGAGGTGTAATCAGAAATGAAACAGAACAGCATATCATTAATTAACAATTTATCATTTGTCTATGTAATTTTCTACTATTTTTTTAAAGGGGAGACAATCACGTAATTATTGTGATTATTATGTACAGGGTATGCAGCTAAGATTTTAAAGAACATAAAACCTTTTCACTTGTGAATCGGGCTTTGATGCTGTGCTTAACCTTTCTTTAACCTTCTCTTCGTTTTCTTGTCTCTCAGTCCCTAGTGAGTTCTGATAAAACAATATAAATCAAAGGGAGAAAGAAAAAAACAAACCCTATTTTGCTTCCTAGTTATCAACAGATCTAAAGGTTAATCAAGAAAGGAAAAAATCTATAATTAATTCTACATTATTAAAAGTAATTTAGCAAAAAAAAACCCACAAAAAACCCCTTACATATTTACAATATTTAGAACTGCAAGTATTTTTGGCACCTTACCTTCTAGCTAAATAGAAAAACAAAACTGAATGTAACTTTTCTTCCAAGTTCCACTTAATTCATCCCAAGACTATTTCATGCTAGTAGGCTCTGTGGTTGGTACTCTTTTTATCAATGGTGATACCATAAAAGTTGTGCCAAGAATGGGCTTCAGCATATTTCAAAGGAGAAAGGAAACTAGGAAGTCTGTAGGAAACCAGCAGACTTTTCTGTCCTCTCCTTTCTACAGCCCCTTCAAGTTTCAGTATCCTCAGACCAGTGCCTGTAGTTCAAACTGATTTGCTGCAGTAATGCAAATTTTTGCTTCTCCCAGACAGAAAGTCCAGGGAATACCATTTATTTTGGAAAGCTTTAGATGATTGTTTTTGCTAAATTCAGGGTGAGCCTCAACTAATGTCCCAGATGTTCACATTCTTTGAGTTAGTACCATTCAAAAGCTACACGAGACTTTTTCCTCCTCTCTAGATAGAGGTACATTTGTGTTTTTTTCCTTATACAAACCTTCTTTTGGACTGAAATTCACCCATTACTGGTCTAAAAAAAGATTATTTTATGTCATGGATAGTCTTCACTGTGCTATTTCCATTGTCAGTAGTTTTAAAAGCATTTTTCATTAACTTTAAGAAGAAAGTGGAAATGAATGGTCTGAAAACTGACAAGCATTTCTTAAGGGGATGAAAAAAAAAAAAAAAAAAAAAAAGGGAAAAAAGTTGTCACTTTGTATTTCCAGCCCCACAGCATAATGCAGTGATCGTCCAGCATAAGCTAATGGCCCTCAGTTATTTGCATAGGAAAAAGCTCTATGTTTTGGACATAAACCACTTTATTCTAAGGGAGTAACATGCTGATACATGAATGCAAACAGAAATACATTGACTTTAGTAAATAAAATGCAATAATTAAAGCCCATAGTAATTAATTTTTTAAATTTTTTTTTTTTGGGGGGGGGGAGGAGGCACTGTTTTCCCACATTCTGCACATAAGAAGTATGAAACTGTGAACACCTCCCCAAGTTCACTAGATACAAAGATGTTAAAAAGCAAGAAGTACACATTTATTTAATGAATTGTTTCTATTGATCTTTTAAAGACTAGATTCTTTAAAATATGTATCTTGGGAGAGTACAGAGGTGTAAGATTCCTTTTTGAAAGAAATAAGAAAGTTGATTGAATGAGGAATATAGTAAAAAACAAGCTTTGAATGTCCTGATTGATCTCACTGGTAAAAGGGTTTCCAAAAGAAATCTGCTATTCTTGGTTACTAGGTTTATTCACTAAAGTTAAGAATTTCAGATGTACATAGTAGTGGCTTGACTTAATTCCTTTTAAAGCAAACAACTTCTCAGCAGAATAAACTCTAAAATCCTGAACCTCACATATACTTAGCAGCTAATTTCAAATAAATAAGATAGTAAACTTCTTGCTTGGTGAGAAGCCACTGTATTTCTGATCCCAGTGATCTATATTTGGGACTATTAAAGCACCTAAACTAATTAAAATTAAAAAAAATTAGATAAAATGGGAACTTTTGTTTTGTTTAAAAAATTATTCACAAGAACATAAATACTTTTAAGGACTCTGAAACATCAGAGATTTTGAAAATCCCAAAGGGTCATTTCCTAAAGAGCAAGTGATGGACAATAGGACAACACTGTCTCCTTCTCTGGGGTTTTGTCAATTCCCCCAATACAATTGCTTTAGACTCATACCTTCAGTGATCGTTTTCTCCTGTGATTACATTCTGTGAAAAATCTAGTGCCTCTGATTTTCCTCCTGCCCTGGAATACACACTAGTGGTGCCCAGGGACTGCTTAATCTCCACATTTTCATGCACTAGTCCACTCAAATGGCTATTCTTTAGTTAGCAGCACATAGATTGGAACGGCTGAATAATGTCTGACATTACTAGGAACTAGTTTTATCATGTTCCCAGCTGGTGTTTACTTTAGAGTAGAGTAGTAATAACTACCTTTAATGAGCAACTCTTAAAAAATTAATGAAAACATGTTTGCAGGTGAATGGAACAAGGAAGGTATAGTGGAAAAATACTGGAACCATTTAATAAGATGAACTGTTTGTTTTGATTTGGGACAGTTTTGTTTTGTTTTGTTTTCCAAATAGTATTGATTTATTTTTTTTAGGAGGGAGGGAAAACTGGAGATCCTTTTTACAGTTGTGTTTCTTTCAGCTGAAAAATAAAGTAAGAATCCTTTAATAGCACTAATGGCTATTAAAGTTCTTAAGCTACTTTTTGCAAATTAACCTTGGTGTTTTGCCCAAATTCTAGCTTGGGTAATTACATTTAACTTTCCTAAGATTTACCTTCTAGTTACGGAGTAAAGAACATACTCTTTTTTCCACACTTTGCAAAATCTGTTTGGAGTTTCTGATGAAGAACAGAGGTTATTTTCCCCTCCTGTATTTAACTACATAAATTACTCTTACTTCTCAGCCTTCCGTCATCAGGAGAGTTACATTGTGTTACTAATTATACAGTTGCATTTTAATGAGTGCTGGGTAATTGTTTTACACTGTTGCCCTCTTGAACCTAAGATAAACTATGGTTGACTGTGAGGATAAATACTTCTGGCACAGGAGGGGCTAGGAGTAGCTGAGCTATCATTCACCTCAGGGGAAGGGAAGAAGTAGTTCAACAATGTTGTTCTTGGTGTGAGGCATTTGTGATGAAGAGGCTCCTCCAGCCTCCACAGATGTATTCAGTGCTTCCCTCCAGTGCTACCTACTTCAGGACCAAACCTCCCTGCAGCCATTGACTGGCTGTTTTGCACCTATTTTGGGGGGAGGAAATTATTTTGCCTTGTGTCATCACTTTACCATGAAAAAAAATATGCTTTTTTTTTTTTGCGAAGATAAGTAATTGTGAAACAGTGGTGAATCTGTTGTACGCTTTCTGAAACATCAGGGGAACCTCTGCAGGAAAGGCCTGAAGTAAATACATTAAAATCAGTAACAAAAAATGACTCTGAGGTAGCTAGGAGGAGGCAGAGGAGAATGGGTGTTCTTGTTCAGGATGCAAGAATGTTAATTCTAGCTTCACCCTTAGTTTTGTATAAGTCACTGAAGAAGAAGTTACTCACTAGCTTTGAATGTTGAATTTATGCCACTTTCTAGTGTTGATACACCCATGGCTCTAATTGAAGCCTGACACAAAACAAAATACCGTGCTCAGTCTACTGTATATTAGGAGGAAAAATACATGAAGTGACAATTATAGAGATAGGGAATGGGCTCAAGAAAGCGAAGATCTTTTAAAGACATGAAATCTAAGCCAAGGGAAATAACATAATCATATTTGTGCCGAACTGAGTGGAAAGAAAAAAAGGAATGTGAAAAGCTAGACGCTGTTGACTTTGTGCAGTTGCATACCAGGTACACCATGTAATACTGGCTTGTCATCATTCTCTTTCTTTATTGTATATTAAAGTAAATAATGAAGTTATTCCCTTGAGAGTAGCTCTGCCACAAATTCAAGTTGCTCCTGGCACTAATTTATACACTGGACTTTTACAGACACATTTTTTTCCTTTCTGTTTGTACAGGGTACAAGTTGGAGCAAGACGTGGACGTCTTTCTTGTTTTTCCTGTTAAAAAGTGTGTGTCCCCAGGGTAGCTCTTCACCTGTGATCATTAAGGGCTTCGAAGATCAGGAAATGAGGCACGCTCACCACTACATTTTTGTTGCTGTTTTGAAGACCTTAATTCTTTAAATGTAATGTAAATATAGTAACAGGAGCTGGTAGGTAAGAGCCTAGACTAGTAATATAGACAAAGTCCTGGAGAAGACTGTATCTAGTTATGCATCATATCCTAGACTTCTGAGATAAGAATCTGCAATTTCTGAAACTATTGTCCTCCCCTGGAGTTAAGTTGTAATAAATAGTCAGCAAGTTACGTGTTAAGGAAAAAGTGGCTCCACCTGGGCAGAATTGTTACTGAAAAATGAACCTGATCTGTTTCACTCTCAATTTCTTCTTACAAAATGTCTTTTTGCCTTTTTCTTAAAGGAGCAGGAAGAACAAGGAACAAAATTAATTCAATTGAATAAGTTAAATCAATTAGATAAATTCAATCAATTGGATTAGTTCAATTAGATTAACACAGTTCAGGTGTTCTATGCTTACATATTCTGTGTAATTAAGTATTACTAATTAAAAAGGACTTGATTTATTGTAATATCTAAGGAGTTTAATTATATTCATGGCCAGGTAGATCTCTTCAGCTGAAACTTCACCTTACGGCTTAGACCCATGAATATTTGTGCATCTCTAGCTCACATGAGGTACAATTGAGTGACAGACCTTCCTTGGTAGCAAAACTGATGTCAGAAATTACTTATTCCTGCTCTCACTTTGCTCTCAGCTGTGCTGGTGCAACTGTCAGTGAGGCCAGCCAGTAAACTGGGGGAGTAAAACACCTGCAGAGTCATCCAGCTCTAGGGAGGAAAAACACTTTGCAGAATCTAGGTCTTGGTTCACACACACCTTGTTTCTCAAGACACTTGGATCAACTGTCTTAAATATGAAACCAGAACTGCTTTAGTCTGGAAATAAAATTCACAAAACAAAGGCCTATGATAGGTGCTGCAAGGAGAAAAAAAGCAGAAAGCTGGCAAATATTTATACTGAATACACATCTCGTTCACCTTGTATCATGGCACCTACCTACTAAAAGAGAAGCTGTCAGCAGTTTAGGATCATAAGGGCTTTTCCCTCGGCCATTTTCAAAATGGGAATCTTCCATTCTAAAAATGTTGTCCTGCGGGGTGAAAAAAAAGAAAGGAAAAGCAACATTATTTGTTGAAAGAACACTAAAAATATGCTGGAATAAACAGAGTGCAGTATGTATGATTCATACGGGGTTTTGTGGCTTCAAGGAAGTCAAATATAAAATACACACCAGGTGAGAATTTGGCAAAAGTGCTCACCTGTTAATCAGCATTGTGCTGAAGGCTACTCAAAAGCACAAATACACACGCACAGCTTGTGTCTCATCTATTCTACTTCAGATATAGTTTGCATTGAATTGTTCCTGCTTTCACTGAGAATATGCCTGAGTAATGGTAACTGAAGAAACTGAAATTTGAAACTTTTGTCTGAAAAAAGACAGAACCTATTTTTCACTGACTACTTTTCTGAAATATCCTGCAAGTGTAGGTTAGTGCATTATTCAATGTTAAATTCTGCTTTTTCTAGCTTGAGTATAGTGACTTACTGTTTCATGCATCCTCAAATTCAATTTTCACTGCATCAGAAGAGGTTTTTTTCCCCTTTATTTTTCAGTACTATACAACAAAACTTTTAAAATATACACACTAAGGGCAAAGCATATAGGGATATAAACCAAGATTAAAAAGGGTCTCAGTCAACACTAACTCAAAATCAAGGTCAGTAAATTCAAAGCAATGGGCTTTTCAGTATTTTTATTGCTTTAATTTTAACTAGGGGACCAAATCTGTCAATCACTTTGAATAATGTGTTTATCTTATGTTTTGCACTGAGGGTAAAGTGAGAAGAATAGATGCTTTTTGCACAGTAAACTTCTACATTGACAGAAAACTTGAGGAGGCCACACTGAGAACTGAAATTTCCATTTCCCACCTACACTGTGGTTAATTTGAATTGACACCTAAACCCTATGGGTTTAGAAACCCCAAGGCTAGGACAACCCCTACAAACAACATTTTTTTCTGGTTACTTGAACTTTGTTACTTTGCACCCTGTTCTCAGTTGCTTATACATAAAAATTCTCTAAGAAGTAGGTGCTAAAGTACTTCCTTTAACCAGTATTTGCAGGACCAAGTAGTTTAAGCTGTAATAGGAACTAAAGCTTCATACAGCCTCTTTTTTTCTTACTGACTAATCAGAGATCAGTCACCTGTTTCAAGAAAATAAACAAACAAAAAAAATTTATCAGAATATATGTCTAAAATTTATGTGTCAATAATAGAAAGCAATTAAGAAGTTATCATAGTATTTTTCCTTGTTTATTTCATAACACATCAGCTCTTTACTGCTTCCACAGATTATCTCAAGTCCCCCTTTCTTATTCTCATAATCCCTTTCCAAACAGAGAATCATAGAGCTGCTGGCTGGAAGGGCTCTCTAGATATCATTAAGCCCAGGAGGACCTGTAAGAACACAATTGTCAACACAGGGTACGGTCAGGCTTTGTTTAGTCTTGCCAAGTCACAAAAACCTTCAGAAAAGGAAATTTTATAACCTTTATAATCTTTCTGTAAAACTTCCTTTGCCCTCTTAATGAAGAATTTTTTTCTAAACTGTACCTTCTGATGAACAACTAGTGACTTTTTGTCCATATTATATAATCTGTAGTGATGGCAAAGATGCAAATAGATGGCAAATGTATGCATTTTAACTATACTTCAAGCTGTTACAGGCTGTTCCTAACTGTCCATTCAGCTTCATTTCTCCAGACTAAGTCTCAGGTTAGAACTTCACAAAAGCTGAAGTAGTGTGCAAACTCCAGGGTCTTACACTGTCCTGAGCTCCCAAGTAAAGGTCTCAAAATTGTTCACAAAACTTTCACCCTCAATGGCAATACTCTAGTGCTCAGTGCTGGAGACTTGGCACTCCACAATGCTGTGGAGAATACAAAAAATATAACAACTCAAATTTTATTCAGCAATTGCTTTGGTAATGTTTTTTTAATGTGAAGATCATTCAGGCAAATAGCTGATGTCTTTCTCATGAGCAATGAATTCAAGTATTTGGAAGCAGCCCTCTCCCTGGCACCCTGCCTTCCCATCTTGCTTGTCCATTAGTTGTACATTTTTTTAGAGATGTTTTTTTTAATGTGAAGATCATTCAGGCAAATAGCTGATGTCTTTCTCATGAGCAATGAATTCAAGTATTTGGAAGCAGCCCTCTCCCTGGCACCCTGCCTTCCCATCTTGCTTGTCCATACTGAATCCAGGCATGGACCAGGCCAGTGACCAAATGTACTTCCAGATGGTATTATTTTAAACCTATTGAGCCCATGTTTCTGTAAGTGGGTCAGAGGCTATAGTTTTTATTCCAGACTTGTTTAATTACATAATGCAAGCATATATCTGTGTGTGCATATTACATATTTTCAGAGGAACATCAGAAGGATTTCACATTTCACTCCATTTACTGGAGAAAAAGGTGAAGGGAAAATGGACTGTTAGCAGAATGGTCTATCTGGAGAGGCTTACTGCACTGTAAGATAAAAAAGCTTGGATACAACTTCATGAAGTTTGACCCCAGAATTCAGGCTCAATCTCTCAAGGCATGGTCTTGTAGATGTAGCCTGCCTGATTATGTTTATACAGTCATCCAGTATCTTTAATATTTTGCACAGTATTACATTTCTTTCTTTCCCTTTGTCTTTATATCTGTTTCTGAATAGTCTAGACACATTCCTTGCTTCTATCCAGTTTTCTGACTTTGTTCCTTCTAACCAGAAATTAATAAATAAAGAAAAAAAAAACTGTTTTTGAAATACTTCTGTAAGGTCCATATCTAGATCTTGCACAATAAATAAAAGTGGTAAGTTGAGGAGAGTGCTAGGCCTCAACTGCAATAATAGAAAATGGCACTAATGCTACAAGCCATTATTGAAAAATGTTATTATCAATCTACATTTTCTTGGGATTTCTTCTTAGTAGATGATAATTGCTCAACCCGTACACCAATGGATATTTGATAAGGCTGTAAAGTCAGTGGCATGACAGTTAAAGCAGAATATATTCCCAAGATATCCCATGTGTCATTATAAGACAAATAGGAAACAGATGTGGAAAGTGATTTGGTGTAAGAAGGACCTGATTTTTTGCTGTATTCTTCTGTTTTATGTCATTGTAACTCCACTGGTATTGGTATGCAGCAGGCAAGAAAGATTGGAGAGCTGGGTCAACGTAAGTCAGAGATGATCTACCCTTCTCTTTGTGTTGTGGGATAAAATATAGGAAATAAGAGGCATGACAGGGAAATCCCACAGTGTTTTCATATTTCAGTATAAATGCAATGTAAAGACATGTGCTATAAGTTTCCAAATGTATAGGCAAGTAATAATAAATACATCACTGCTAAGTGCCAAATAAATGTATCATGGTTAGTCTGAGGCCCCAAGGAGTTCTGATAAACATGCTATAGGAAGTTTAACCTGTCACAAATAGGGCAACTTGCCCAAACAGCTTTTTGAGTGCTAAAATCAAAATACCTCTATCTACTAACCAACAATAAAAACAAGCAATAAAGGAATACACTCCTTTGTGTACTTCCCAACCTCATTTTTAAAACCTAGAAAGCAATAAAGCTAATGATAGGTACTTGATCATACTAGTCACTGGTCTGTGGCAAGTGGACTCAGATTCTGCCCTCAGATGCCATAAAAGCAAGAGATTAGTTGAGAAGTGAATGCCAGTATTTGAGGACAAATCTTCATCTCTTCATTTTATAGAAAAGATATGCTTGATGGTTTTCTGGAGAGTTAGCCTCCATGTCAAACTGCAAACTCAGGCTATGCTCCTGGTGTGTTAAGTCCTGTCCATCTCAGTGACACCTGAAAACCTGTGTGGAAGCAGCAGAGTGAGCAAAGGCAGGCAAAATCTGGGGCTATCAAAGACCAAGGCTCTGCTCAGAGGCTTAGGGGGATTTTGGACTGTGTGAGTATGACCTTCTTTTGCACAGTACAATTAAGAGCTTTTAGCTGGCAAGAATGCATATTATTTGTTCTCAGAAAAAAATCTGATCATTTCAGAATTTTTCTGCCTCTTGGGTTTTACAGTTAATTGAAGGCAAAGAATGATACTGTAGTGAGTCAGCAAATACTTTAGCCATAAAAAGCAAGAAAAACTGTGTATGCACCAAATGCTCACTGTTTCAAAGTTTTGTGAGGGCTATTATATTATTAAAGACAGGAATTCAGGACAAAGCAAACTTGACAGGCTGGAGAAAGTTCTCTAGAAATGAATGAATGAATAAATAAGTAAATAAATAAATAAATATATTTTCAAAGAAAGACCTTTGTAACTCAACAATGAATCCAATTTACTGTCCAAAACTCTTCTTTAGTTGCACTGGAAGCCCAAAGGGACATTACAATGAACTTCAAACCTCTTTAAGGATCCTAAATCTCTGCTGTGGCATGCTTTATTTAATTGGTGCTGGGTTATTAAACCCTAGGTTTATACTTCATTAATGCTTCTCTATAACCCATAATAAAAGTACTGAAAAAGAGAGATTGTTTAGGTCTTGAAATTTCACAAACTCATAATAACAACAACTGACTGCAAGCTGAAGTTAGTCACATGACTTCTGGCTCATGGTGTGGCATGAATTGTTTCACCTGGTAAAAGCTTTGCATGGTGGGAGATTATGCTTCTAGCTCCTTGAAAAATATGTTCTCCTACAGCACATAGTGTGATAGATAGCAAGACTCAGCCAGAAAGAACTACAGGTAGGTCATAGAAATGAATGTAAAAGTTATGGTGATTCCCATTCTTTAGCCTGATGATCTTCCATTTCAAGGCTGTAGAGATTCACTAGGTCACTGAAGTAACACCCCATATCATGATACTCTGTGGTGACAAGACATTGCCATTTAAAAAGACTTATTTAATAGCTTCCTATTGGATAGCTTCAGTCAACTACATCCTTCCGTTCAGGTTTACCAATACAATATAACGTTATTTATACGTATCAACACACATATATATATATGCCAACTGTATTCCCAAACATACACATATATTTGTATATACCCGATATGAT